GGCGAGCGGTGGTGGTTTTGGTTGTTGGGGGCGGCGGTGGTTTTGGTCGTTCGGGGCGACAACGGTTTTCGTTGATGGGGCAGAGCGATGGTGGTTTTGGTCGGTGGGGGCGGCAACGGTTTTGGTCGATGGTGTCGGTGGTGGTTTTCTTCGATGACGACAGTAATTTTTTTGTTAGAATTTGATGTTGGGTTTGGAGAAGGGAAAGGCTAATTAAGATCGAAAGTGAAACATAGATGAAGAGGACGGAGGTGGAGGTGGTGGTGGTGGCGGATCTAGAGTTTCATATTGGATGAGTGCCAATGACTACGGGTGTTTATGAATTACTATGAGTGTATACGAATGGGTAGCGACTAGGGTTCAAAACGAGAGTATGTGACTACGGATTACTATGGTTCCTATAGGTGTCTATAGTCGACTACGACCTATTTTGTTTTTTAAACATTCACAATTTTCAATATCGTAAATTATAGTATACCATAGTACACCATAGTATTTTAAAATCTGCTGTTTTATTTAACAAAAACGAGAAAAAAAAAACGTAATTTTCAGTAAAACATAAAAAATAGATTAAAAAATAAACTTGCTTATAATAATGTAAAAAAATGCTAGAGTGAAAAACGAAAAAATAAAGACGACAAAGTCTATAATAATACGATAAAATATGTTAGATGAAAAAATAAGATATTAAATGTATAATAAAAATGATAAATGCAGTTTGAATTTTACTAAATGCAAATTTCGAATTTGTGAGTGGAAGGGCATTTTCGGAATGAATTTAATAAAGGATGTGAAGCAAATGTTTTGTTTGACTTGTCATTTAGTTCTAATTAGTTTTGTCACTAGGGACTTATATCTTAAGTCCCCATATATTTATGTACGTCCATTCCCGTTCCTACACATATTTAAGGTTATTTATATGTTATACCTGATGAAGGTTACATTGGATCTTTTACTGTTAATCTACACACCTTAGATGTGTGTGTTTGTGTGTTTATAGATGGTAAATATTTACTCACTGTATCTCATTCGGTGTAGTATAGTATAAACCCTTATATTAGAAGCCTTCTAATATTGATTCTTTTTGTACTACAACAATTGACAAGGACCAATTCTTCTAAGCACAACTCATATTCTTTTATTTTATTTGTTGATTAGAAAAAACTTCATGCTTTTCATCTGCTTAATTAACAAAGTTCAAAGGCAATTCAACTTTGGGTTGCTAGTTATTAAACTAATTAGCAATATAATGAGTCGTTAGCACGTTCAATTAAATATGGGTTCATACTCTATACACACCGGCTAAACAATTGTAAGGAAAATGCATTAAATCTAATAATTCATACATGGGGTCCTCAAGTTAGAATATTTACCTACATATCCATATGTTAAAAATAATCTTCATAGTAGTTTGCAAATTAATTCAAATCCTTAAGACGAAAACAAAAAAATAAAGTCGCAAAAATTTTTGCAAATTATTAATTATTTTAAACAATTGCGATGAAAATAAATTAAACATTGCAAATATTTATTAAAAATGCCAAATGCTATATTTTGTAGAATAATCGTCGTTGCGACAATTGAATTGATTTGTCGCAAATGCTCACGAAATTCTTTTACCTACTCTAGTGCGACGATATTTGCGAAGCAATTTTTCGTCTGCGCAATTCTACTTATGGGTTATTATACTTTTTGTATTTTAAACGTCGCAAAATTGCAACAAATCCATTTTAGTCGAAAAAAAAAAAGAAAAAAGAAAAGTCGCCTGAAATACATTTGGATTTAGTGGTATTAACTTCATAACACAATAATATGGATTTAATTTGGTCTAAATAACCTTCATAGGCTTGATTTAAATAAGGTGCTTTTTTTTTTTTCGTGAGCTTAGCTTGAAACCAAAACTTGAGGTATTTAACAAAACTTGTATTAAAAGATGAAATCACTCGCCCCCAAGGCCCTCTATACCTTGGCCCGACAAATATTAGATGGAGGAATGTAAATCATGGTGACTCAACGGGGGTAATTGACATTTTGCACGCTCGAATTACAAGTGTTTGGCACTTACCACCATTAAATTGCAAAAATGGCATAATGCACCGTCCAATTATAGTATTCTTGGCAAAATGCACCCTAATTCAATTTTTAGCTTAAAATGTGACAGGCAGCCTGTTTGTGATATTGAAGCGGGCGCAGATTTCTCCTTCATGCATTCATTACTCATCAACACCAAAAACTCGCAAACAGAAATTGCATCTCCATTGTAGAAGAATTGTCGGGTATTGGAGATATTTATATTAAATGAAACATTCCACTAATTGCTTAAACTTTTGATTGAAATGATCATTCAACATGGTATCAGAGCCAGATCAAATCAAAGGTCATGCGTTCGAATCCTACCGCTACCCATTTCAAATATTTAAAGTGCAAGGTTTCAAACGAAAATCGTCTACCGTGGCCTTAGTATGATTTCCATGTAGATAAAAACCTAACAAATTCACATGCATTGTACAACTGAAATGCTATTCATAGAACAAATTTTACTACCTTGCAGTGCGACTTTATTTCATTTGTAATTTTCAAAGAAAAAAACCGCAATTCTCTCAAACCCTTTCCTTACTATATTTCGTGCATGAACATTTCGTATTCCCTAACACGAAATGGATGAAGGCATTTCGTGTAAAGAAGCACGAAATAGTGTTTTTTTACGATACACAAAACCACAATTTTATGTTTTTTTATGCATTTCGTGTTGTACAACACGAAATGCATAAAAAAATGTCAAAATTCGATAAAAAAATACGTTCGTTATCTCAAAATCGAAGTAGGTTTGTTTCATATTGATAATTATTGTGTTCTAATTGATATTATCGAAAAAAATTGACGATTTGGAAAGTTTAAGAATTCGGAGGTCGAGAGAATTTGGAAAAAAGTTAAAAGAATTTCTTGACAAATGAATTATTTTGCACTGTAACTAGAAAAAAATGCACTATGAATAGTAAACCCCATTGTAGATTGAGTGAGTTGGAAATTATAGGGCGCCACAATTAGGTGTTTAATTTGTTGTATTGACTACCGTGCAAAACTTGCATTGTAGTTAATTACACTTATCATTTTTCTATTTATTTCATCAAATACTAATTAAATTTTTACATTTTCTATATATGTGGTGTTTGGAGTTGATGCTCTTTTCATCAAATGGCTATCTCGGATATACTTTGTCCAAAGTTTTTGATTTGGGTTGAAAAACAATCTTTATGCCACACTGCTCAAGAACCATTTTTCGAACCACCAAAAAAGAAAAAGAAAATTTACAATTGTTATCATAAGTCCAAACATGCAAGTATTAGAGGGAGGACATGTTCACAACTAGAATACAAACAGAAATCAGCTCCCCATTATAACAATAATATGGAATTATTATCAGATTACGGATTTTTTTTTTCTTTTTTCTTTTTCGTTTTCTTCACTTTTTTTATGTATCAGTTTTATTAATCGACTATAAAACATAGTTGATTAAATAAATTCTTTGATTTTTTAAATTTTTTTTAAACTTTTTTTCATTTTTTTAGTTCTTTTTTTTTCTCTATCGGGTATATTAATCGCCTATGAAGCATAATCGATTAATAATCTAATTACTAAAAATAACAAATCACTAAGCACAAAAAAATGCAAAATCAACTATATTTTACAAAAACAAAAAAATATACAAACATTATAATTGATTTATACAATTGGAATCAATAAACAAAAAATCCAAAATAAAAACAAAAACAAAAATTGGAGTCGGTTAACATTAATCGACTACTGAATATAGTCGATTAACCTTTAATCGACTATTGAACTCGTACATAGTTCATTAAGGGTTCAATCTGCGTAAATTTCTCTATCCGCGCTGTCTTCCGTCCGATCTACAAAGAAAAAAAACTCTAGATCTGCCTCCCTATGCCGCCGCAATAGCACACCATCCCATAATCCTTGCAACTTTATCCCATACCTTACGACTTCATCCCACCCACAACCCTTGAACCCAGACAAACCATTTTTCCTTCTGCAGATCACGGAAACTTAAATTTTATTCGAGTTTCCGTGCTCCAAAAAATGGGAGCTTCAAAAAGAAAAATTCAAAATTTTGTTAGATCTAATCCTAAACATGTGTTTTTACCTAAATTAGAAATAAAACTAATTAAAAATAGTAGGATATTGAAAATTTACCGGAATCGAGCCGCGTTTGCTACGGTTTCAAAGTCGAAAAAATTTACGAAATTCAAATTTCTAGAGAGAGTTTGGGAATAGGAGAGAGAAATTAAAAAAAAAATTAAATGAAAAAGATTCCGCTGCAAATAAGCCAATTTTAAGTAAAAGTCCCGCTGCAAATAGCAACACACAAAAAATATCACGGAAAAGAATGGAAAAGACATTCTCCAATTTACATCGCTGTTCTTGTAATCTCACCAAATAATACACATACATACATATTTTAGTACCTTTTTAATATCGTTAAATCCCCAAACGTGGCTGCAGCCCCATTCCTCTTTCCCTTTTTCACTTGTTGGTGTGGTTCGGTGGGAAAAATATGGGTCCCTTGTGCCTTTCAGTTGGGCTTAAAATCTTGAAAGTAAGAGATGAAAATGGAGGGTTTCTGTGTGATTTGATTCTTTTTAAAGACTTCATTTTTTTCTGGTAAGTTTTGAAGATTTGACGGAGTCCTCATTTGGGCTTTCGGCGTCAAAATTGAGGACTAAGGGTTTTTTGAATTTTCGGTGTTTAGCCACAGTTTCCTTGTTTGATAATTTCTGGGTTTTCTTCTCTTGATTGGTTCATAAGAATTTTGCGCGGTTGGGCTACCGATTTTTCTCGAAGGTGGGGATTTGTTTGATTCTTGAATTGAATTGAATGCTGAGGTGGCGGTTTCCGATCGTCTAGGTTGACTGGTTTCTTGATTTAGTGCATTTTTTGGAATCTTTTAAGCACTCAATCCGTAAAGGATTGAGATGCTAAGCATCGAAAATTGTTGAAAAAACTGATTTTTTTTCTTTGTTCAACGGATTTGAAAATGGATGTTTGGGTTGTAGCTGCAGCTGCTGGTGCTGGATATGTAGCTCAACGTTTGAAGAATCTTAGCAAGGGCAAACGGTTAGATTCGTTCCCGGATAATCTTAATATTGTCAAACCCGATTCCTCAAGTGTTCGACAAAATGTCAAGGAGAAGAGCTCTCCACTTGTTAGGGTGTTTTCGAGGAAACAAATTGTGGAAGAACGAGAAAACGAACAGCCTTGTGAAGAAGAAGCTGGTTCGGCTGCAGAGAAGACCTCAATTAGCGGATACGAAGACGAAACTTTGGCGACGATGGACATCTTCGCGAACAGGATGGGATTTTTGAGTAGCGAAGATTTTCGAGGGGATTGGGAGCATAGAGTACCTTCGGATGTCGACGAAGTTTTTACTAGTGATTCATTGCGTCGTACTTCTTCGAGTGAAATGGGATTTTCGTACGGTTTTGGGAGGAATAGAAGTAGCCTTAGGTGTAGACGAGTTAACAACGAAGCAATTAAGCCACAAACTTCTCTTGAAAGTTGTCTTATGGCTCAGTTATACGACCAACATGCCAAATTTGAAGAGTACACTTATTCTTCTCTCCGTCGATTAAAGAAACCATCACTTAGGCCGTTTATCGTGACTGATGGAAGCAGAATAATCAGCTCGCCCCCTCGTGAACACGCATTCAACGGGCTCACTGGAAAAGGGGAATGTAAGTTGCGGGACGATATACATTCGCAAGAGAATAATACTGTACTTGGAGTTCCGAAACTGCCTAATGTTGTATCGGGTAGAGACAAAAATGTGCAGGCTTTGAGAAGAAACGGCTCTAACGAAATGGCCCGTAGAAATCAGAATAGCCCTCAAGGTGGTACCATCTAAACTCGTTTTTTCGAAATATTTTTTGTCATTTAGCATTATACGCGGAAATGTGTGGTTAGGCGAGTAAGATAAGAAAGACTTGTTATTGCATAAGCATTACCAGATATTTCCATTATAATTTTTTTTTTTTTTTTTTTTTGTGATGTGTTTGTTTTAAATGATTGAAACTGATTAAGTAAACTTACTCGTCCATCTCGTTGGTGATAAGAACTGTTGCAGTCTTTACCATTTGAGAACGTTTACGCATACAATCTTGTTTAGAAGAAACATAGAAATCTTATCGTACTTTCACAATGGAAACGAATCAGATTTTCGTTTATTTTCTATAATGTGTAGTTGCCGAATGCAGAGTATTACAGATAATCGTAACTAAAAAACTGTTTCGCCACTAGAAACAATAAAAATTCTTTCTTTGCCTTCCGTTCATTTGCATTGTCACGAATGAATGTTGCTAATTTTTTTTCTTTTCTTGATTTTTAATTCGGGTCGTTGTTGACCTTTTCAGGAATATCCGACAGGGCTCTTATTTTCAATCTTGGATTAACAATGGGCATAGTATCTTCTGTGATGGCGAATAAGCAAGAAATGGGAAAGCTGAATAAGTTGTTGAAGCAGACCGAGAATCTGGTACAAGATTTGCAAGAGGAAATCGAAATGAAAGATTCAGTAACTGTGAAGGAGATTGCTGTCGAGGATTACGAATCAAAGGATGTTCACACTGACAATGACCTACTTGCTTTATCCAGTGAACACAATTATTGTGAAGAATATAAAAATCAGAAAAACGAAGAGGAATCCTTAAGTAAAATCGAAGCGGAGCTCGAAGCTGAATTAGAGAGGTTGGAATTGACCATCAACTCATCCAGATTGGAAGCAAAATTGTCCAAACTAAACGAGGTAAGCATATTTAATTCCACTTTTCGTCGAATTAAAATCTGTTAAAGGGAAGGAACTATATATGTTCTTGTGTGCTTTAGTTTAGATATTTGATGCTTAGAATTAAAGAAGATATAACACGTGAAAACAGACTTTCAAGAAAAGCATGTGTTTTTTTCTGTGCTCGTTCCAATTAATATATCGAACACTCGTAATTATTACCGTGCGGTGTCTGAACTTTGTGTTAATGTCAGTCCAGACAATGGTAAAAACAATTCTTTGTATCCGTCTAATGTAATATACAAGCTGATATAACGTTCGTTGATAATGCATTTTGAGTTGAACTATCTCTATAGAGGTGAGACTGTTATATTGACGACCTCTAATTGACTGTATTATTGCAGCTGGATCCAGATTCGATGTCCGATTGTTATGAAGGGGAGTTGAGTCATGACTTGTTTGGTGCCAAAAAAACTGAAAACCGGGCTTATGGTGAAAGTGGTAGCAGCACACCTCGTTCAGTCAACTACGCAGTCTCCCCGAGAGAGCTGAGTCTGCGTTTGCACGAAGTCATCCAAACGAGACTCGAAGAACGTATTAAGGAACTCGAGACAGCATTGGAGAACAGCCAGATGAAGGACAAGTACGTGGAATCTTCGGAGAATATACCCTCGGAGAATAAAACACAAACTTGTTCCACTCAAGAAAGCCCGATTATTTCACGGGATGGAGGAGAAGAAGAATTTGTGGGCCACCCCGTTGTTATCAATTTATCGGGGGAGGCTCTATCGGCGTATAACGAGGCGTATGAAGAGATGATGAAGGAGTCCGAGTCGGATGAAGAGGATTTGCAATTAGGGTTCGGGAATGGAGAAATTGAAGGGTTTGATGGAAGAATGGAAGAAGAAGAAGAAGATGTTTGTACGAATGATGTGATTGGTTGGAGCAGCAGTGCGGATGAGAGTGAAGACGATGAGATGGAGAGGATGTTGATACGGCAAATTGTGGAGAAAGCTAAACAAGGCTCTCCTGCTGTTTTGAAAGCTCATAGGGAATTGTTATTTTCAGCTCATGCAAATTGAACATTCTAATTATTATTAATTGAAAACGGAAAAGAAAAAAAAAACAATAAACGAAAAACGCAAAAGAAGGGCGATTTTGCAAAGAGTTTGAGAGTATCTGGGGGTTATAGTTTGCTACTTGTTGTGGTTTCTTCTTCTCTATTTCCAGATTGTTGAGTCAGAAGCTATTAGCGGTAACAAGTAAAATCGAATGGTAAGATCTTTACTACCATTCATATACACACAAATACACACACCCACATTGGTGTGTGTAGATCAACGTTAAAAAAATCACCCGGTGTAGTCTTCACCGGATGTAGCACAGAAATAACCCAACAACCACAATGATTATTACTTTGCGCAATTAAATTTAATCTGCGTCATTTACACTAATCACTAACCGATTATCTAAAGTTCTCACTTTCCATCTCATCTCCTTCCCTTGTAAGAAGTTCCTCCATTTCCGCCAATTTATTCCTCCACTCTCGAATCTCCATAACACCCCTCATTTTCCGAGCCAACTCCATAATCCCACGTGGCGAACCCCCGTGGTATCTTACCACGCACTTCGCAATTTCCTGCACTTGCGGAGCAAGTGCACTAATCGCCTCTCGTCCAAATCTCTCTTCGAACAATTTCCAAGCCTCGTCCTCTTCCAACGCTGTCAATTCGAACTTCTCTTGACAACCAATTATATTACACACTCTCGAAGATCGACTCGTAATTATCACTCGACAAAATCCACTCGCTCGAACAAGCGGAACTCCCGCACTCTCCAAATCTACATCTTCCCTCACATCATCCAATATGAGTACAACGACGCCTTTCTTTTGCATTAGCGCTCGATTCAATTCAACCGCTCTTTTGTCTTCGTCTTTCTTGTCCGTAAGTGTTAGCCCTATGGCTATGGCTATATCATCTTGGAGACTCTTTATGCTCGATTCTCGAGAAACTTTGACCCAATAAACGCAGTCTTCAGTTCGTTCTAAAAGTATCTGATTGTGTATGTGCTTAGCCAAATTCGTCTTGCCCACTCCACTAATCCCATAAATCCCGATAATTGGGACTTTTTCAACCACCAAGCATTCCCATATCCTCCCGAAAATTTTCTCAACCGACTCACCGAAGAGCTCACTTGTCACCAATGGCTCCCCACTAGTTTCATTACAAGCATCGAATACAAGTCCATCAAAGTGTCGACTTTGCTCCACGAGCATTTCCACTTTCGCGTTCAATTTTTCGACGCTGCGAATACGCTTTACGATTTCTCCTCGTTGTATTCCGCTCTCTAACGCAAGAATACCCGTTTGATTTTCTTGCACCAACTGAAGCCATTTTTCCACTTCCCGTTTTCTTTTCTTTCGCCCTTGTTGCTCTTCGTTTTTGATTCGTGTCTCGATATCGGATGCCCTGTAGCTCAATGTTCTTGAATTTGTTTTCAGATCTTGTAATTTGTTATCGAAATCAATGCACGCTCGCCCGGTTTCTACAGCATGATCTGCCGACTTATTTAGCCCAATGGTTACAACTTTATCGGCAAAATTCTTTGCTACCTCCACTGCCTTTGAGGAGACTGATTCTGCCACATTCTTTAGTGTTTCAAACATTATTTACTGTTTCTAACTTTCTTCCCTGCATAAAATTTAAGCCAAAAAAAAAAAAAAAGAAAAAAAAAAACGATTGTGATTGGCAAGACAACAATAACTGAAGGTGCTTTAATATTCAGACAAACTATGAAGAGGAAAAACACAGATTCAGTTACACCTGTTAATTGTTATCAACGGGTTCATTCAATTCAATTATTAAACGAAACAAAAAATCTATGTTGTTTCCGTAAACACAGCAGAACTCAATGATTGTGGTTTTTAGGGTTAAGAAAATCAAGATTTATGATTTATGATTTCTTTAGAATTGAATTACCTGGATATGATGCAAGTGTTGGGGGAAGCTTTGAGCTGTAAATTCTGCTTTCAAATTAGAGAAACTGAGATAGAATTATTATATATGAGTTGAAAATGGAGGGCATTTAATTATAAAGAAGAAGAAGAAGAAAATACTACTACATTTCCCGGAAGGAGACAAATTAAAAATGTCTGTTTCACTTTTTCGTGTTGAAAATACTATTCCCTTTCCTGGAAGGATACCGGAATTAAAAAATGACGTGATTAAGGACTAATATTGCAACTTCGGAAAAATTACATTATTTGTCCTTAAAACTTTATTCACTTTTTTGATATTGTCCTTAAACATTTTCGAGTTACAATAGTGGTTCCTAATGATGCCATCTTTTCACAAAAATGATCCACTGTTTAGTTTAAAATGTGGCTAAAGTACGATGAACCCTAGTTGTAATTCTAGTTGAGAGAAGAACTTTGTTTCATGTCTCACACAAGTGAGTGTTGGAATTTTTATTAAAAGAAAATTATTTTAGTGTGAATGAAAATTATTTTGTAAATGTGGCTAGACATCCATTCAAAATGAAAAGGTGTTGTGCGTTGTCAAATCAAATTTTTCATGGGATTGTCTTGTCATGTCACACCCTTTTAACATGTACAAACAAAACTCCCACTAATCATTATAAATATACAATTCAATTCCATAATTTTGTTCTATGAAATTATTCTTTCTTTAGCCCGAAAATATTGTTCGTATAATATTTTTTTCCGTATTAGATTCGAGAGTTTGAGACACAAAGTAACGTTCGTATTCCGAGTTTAACCATTGTATCTTGAGAGACGATTGTCAAATAACCGTAAGCACTGTAGCAGATCAATTTCGTCTTAAGGTAAGAATTTACTCGCCTCGACAAATCTTTTCGTATTTTTTCACAAACTAATTTGTACAACCATTTTGCTAAATTCACTACCGTTTTATACACCGAGAACAACAATCTTAAGACGAAATTTTATGTAATTTAGTAAATTGAATTTTCTGCACACATTGGTAAACAAAATATGTGTAAATGAAATGGAGAAAAAGATAATCTGCCAAAAATCAAAAGTTACAGAATCAAATTGGACGGAAAAACAAAAGTTACATAGAAATGAAAATATCCAATGAAATGGTACCACATGTATATCTTCGTACAAGAACATTTCTGCTTCAAAGAAATACATAAAACAAAGAAAAAGAACTTTATACTAGTGAGAATCAAATCCGTACATAACTAGAAGATTACAGAATTGCAGTTATTTTCGATATATGAAAACTTTAAATCTATGACATTGATTAAGTAAGAATCATGCATCCTTCTGTAAAGTACCAACGTGCCCAAGAATCGTGCAGAAAATCAGTGCATAAACGAGAAAGCGCATTAGCGGGAAAGACGCATCTTGAATAAATTTCAATGGATTCCCATTTCGAAGCAACGTTGAGGAGAGCTTGGGACAAATTGGAGACGGAAATTCCTCTACGCCAACGTGCATCAATTACATTTTCCTAAAAAAAATTCGGCCATTTCATCTTCAACCGGAATTTCTTTGAAAGCGGGGTTTCCTGCATTTTCACCTTGAGTGATCTTCAAAGTCATGCCTCTAACTAGATTGTGCATCTTCACGCAATCCTCACCGTCCGTCTCTTCCAGTAAGCAAACATTCACTAATTTATCGAGTATCGAGTGGGCCTCATCGATTTGTTCGGTCGTGCACTTTGTTTTGTCCACCAAATCCTCGGAAATGAATTTTCTAACTAGTTCCTCTCTTTCAATTCGGTGACCTTTCGGATACAAAGAGCAATACAAGAAACAACGCTGTAACGGTGTGTGACCGTTACTCGTTCCTCGCATTTGACGCTTCGGATCCAGTGCATCAAAACTATATCCAAGTACTTTAAAAACCTCGTCCCCCAATATTTCATCTAGTCCCATAATAACGCATTTCTCGAGTTTTGCCAACGCGTTCCTCCACGCGTGAATGGCATTCTCGCCCCTCATGCTCTTAGCTAGTGCGATTACCCCAAGAGGCAAACCGTCGCACAATTTCACCATGGAGTTTGCAATTTCTTCCACTTTCGGATCCAATTTTGTTTTTCGCCCCAACACTTGGGTGAATAACTCACATGCTTCATCCATATCTAGTGGCTTCACTCCAATAACTTGTTGGCAATCCATTTCATGACAAATTTTCATGGACCGAGTTGTGATAACCACCCGGCAACCCAACAGACGTGACAAATCTCCGATCTTTTCCATGCTTATAAATTCCCACACGTCATCCAATATCAACACAATGTTCGTTGTTTTCTGGGACAAGGCGAGTTTCAATCTAGCAACTCTTTTGTCTTCATCGAACTCATTCTCGAGATCCAAACTACCGCATGGGCTAATCTAACTTGTAACGTCCTTATACTGAACTTTCGAGAGACCGTGACCCAGATGACACATTCTTGACCGGATCTTTCTAGAAGCCGGTTGTGAATGTGCTTCATCAAAGCCGTCTTGCCCACACCACCCATACCGTAAATCCCGACACTTGCCACTCGATCTTCCACCAATAACTTCAATATTTTACTCAAAATGTCGCCATAGGTGTGACCTACTAGCTTAGTTTCGGCAAACGGCGCCTCCTTAGTCTGGTAAACATCGAGCACGAGTTCACCGAAATGTATACACTGCTGAACATGTGTGTCGAGTCTTTCGTTCAGCTTCTTCGCTCGATCTCCACCTAGGAAAATTTGAGCAAATCCTTGTGTTTGTACTTCACTGTGCAGTTCGCGAAGTTCGCTTCTAATTAGTTCCACACCGGCCAACCAGTTGGCAACTTCTCGTTTTCTTTTCTTTTTACCCAATAGCTCCGCATTCTTGATATGATCCTCAAAATCCGATGCTTTAGCATGCAATAAGTAGACTTTTGCTTGCAGAGAGTTTAAAATGGACTTGAGTTCGACTATGGTCTTTATCTCGTCCCCTGCGTAACCTACGATCTTCTCCCCGACCGTTGTTACGATGGACGCCATAAGCTGGTTTAACATCGCTGCAGTTTCACCAAACAACATTTAATGTCAGGATTCATATAGCTTAGTTTGATTTATTTTGGAGATTTGGGTATATTGGCTGACATGTCCTATTTTCGTGAATAATTTGAATAAATGTCGTGCTTGATATTGAGTACTGTACGGACACATAAAATTGGGGTATAAATTTTGTATGGGAAAAATTACACTTTTCGTCCTTCAAGTTTACCTCGATTTCACATTTGGTGCCCCCATGTTCACACACACAAAAAAAAAAATTATATTTAGTCCCTCTTGTTTCAATAATTTAATATTTTTGGTCATTTTCTGTAACTACTAACGGAATCAAGCTTGTGTTTATCCCTGTCTTAACAGTAATAGAAAATTGGCGGACATGACCAAAAGTGTCAAATTGTTGAAATATGAGGGACCGAATGTGTATTTGGTGAACACGAGGGACTAAATGTGAAACCAGTGCAAATTTGAGGCATAAAAATTGTAATTTTCCCGTGTTGTATATGTGTGTGTCAAAATACATTTTACCAAACTACACTTACTTTTCTTTACAAACTCCAGTTTAAAATAGGGAAAAATACAGTTCTCGTCCTTCAAGTTTGCATCGATTTCACATTCGGTCCCCCATTTTTACAAAAAAACATATTTAGTCCATCATGTTTCAAATTCAACATTATTAGTCATTTCCATCAATTTTTCATTCCTCCAACAGAATCAAATGTGTTATCATCGTTGTCTTAACTGACGAACTAACGGTAAATTGACAGAAATGACCGAAAGTTAAATTATTGAAATATGAAGGACCAAATGTAAATCATTGAGGGATGAAAACTTTAATTTTCCCGTTTAAAAATATAATGTATATGAGGGTAATATACTCCTCCTTTCCTTTCCAACATAATGAACAACACTTGCAATGGAAAATCCGAGTTCGTTCAACAGAAAGGAGGAAACTCCCAATTCCTGTATCCAAACACCCATGAGATCTATCAAATCCATTTTTTTGTAATTCAAATTCTTTAATCCAATCTTCCTTTAAGTGAGCTTATTATGCCATTAATTAGAAGAAGAAAAAAAAAGGCATAACAATTAAAGAACAGAAGGAATACAAATGGATAGGGAAAAAGAAGACAGAGTGCAAATTCAGAGAATATATAAATTAGACATGATAACAGAAATGGAAGTAAGAATCGACTCACCTTAAATCTCGTTTGTAGCTATTCCACAAGCACAGAGGAGTTTAGAGTTTGGTTTTGATAGTTGACTTCCAAACACAAATTGCGGACTACATTCCAAGAGTGGTTAGTTAAAGTGGAGACAAAAATAATAATTTTGAGACACTTTTCCACTTTAATTATTTTAATATTTTCAAAACCAAACCCTCTCGATCAACTTTCAACACAATTTAACTCAAAAATTCAATAATTAACATAATGAAATTTCAAGATTTTGTGTAGATCCACATGAAATATTGCCATGTTTCTATGCATTGCTACACGAAATTTTGACGATATTTATGTTGTCCTTTTGATCTCGTGTGTAACAACACAAAAATCTACCTTTATTTCACGTAATATAACACGGAATTAATTCAGGTTTTCCTGGTGTTCCACACGAAAGAATACGATTTTTTTTTTCTCTTTAGTTATTCTTTATTTTAATTATATTTATCTGAGTAGATGAAGAAATATACATAAATGTTGATAGAGAAGATATGGATACGTTCGATTTACATGATTATAGTCTTTTAAGATCGTCCCATAATTCTAGCCCAACTATTACATATTAATTTCAAATTAAGTAGGTAAAGTCAAATACTTATTCAAGTTAGATTATTAGGCTGGTTGCAAACAGATCCTTCTGACCCTGCTTTATTCTCCAAGCTAAGAAGTCCACCTTCACTTACTTTTGCATCTTCAAGTAGTATTCTTCTTTTCTTGTGAACTGACAGCTCTGCATTCTTCGTTGGTTTCTCAATTACATTAACTTTTCTATATGCATCGACTAGAACTTCACTAAAATGTGTACTTTCCTCAACAAGTGTTTCTACTCTTTGATTCAGTTGTTCAATATTTTCCATATTTTCCTCTAATCCTTGAGACTTCACTTCGTTGTCCAGTTCAAGAAATTCAGTTTCGAGTTTCTGTACCTCCACCAACCAATTCGCAACTGTAACAGACGAGTCACCGGAAGTGATTGTGCTATCCAAATCGTGAGATGACAGTGGCGGTGGTGGTGGTGAAGAAGATTTCTCTTTATCATCATCAAAAGAGTTGATGAATGAAAAAAGTGTGTCATCTATTGTTGCGGCAGCGTCTATGATGACGGAAGAAGAATCCTCCGGTGTTGCGGCAACAACATCCATGTTTATTTGATCGGATGACTTGAGAAAATCGTTGCATGAGTGTTGACCAAAGCATGTTATCCTGAAAAGAGGTGGATCATCTTGAATCTTTTGCACTTGTTTCGTAGCTAGGCATCCTTCAACATATCTGCGGGCACACCTGAAGTAGTTTCTGCATTTCCTTTCTTCATTAATTAGCATTTACGTACACATAATATTAAGTGTAAATTACGGCCACCCTTGAGGTAAGGTATAATTACCAAAAAAACCCCTTTTGTTTGCATAATTACAATCACCCGCAAATATATATTGTCTTATACGTCCACTCTTATGAAATTTACCTAGGGATGCTCATTTGCCCGGTAAACCGATCGAATTGAACCGAACGAAAATTCGTACATGTCGATTACCGAACCGTTAATTCGGTTAAACTAAAGATCATTAAAAAAAATTAGAAAAAAATAACAAAAAAATAATATTTTTAATAAAAAATTGGTAATTCAGTTATTTATCGAACCAAAAACTATACGGTATGAAATTTTGGCATACCCCGCAATTTCTGTACAATTTTACCGAATAAACGCCCCTAAATTTATCAACAGGAGGGATTTTTTTTTAAAGATAATACATAGTTGGAGAAGGGTGCTTGTAACTATGCAAACATGAGTCGTTTTTTTTTCCTAATTTGACCTTACCTCAGGTGGTGGTCGTAATTTGCCATAATATTAAAGTTAGCTGTTATATTTGTATTATAAACTATATAAACCTACAATACAATCGAACAAGAATATGATTTTGAGCTAATAGCACAGACCCCCCTATGTTATTTTTAATTGGTGAAAAACACCTCGTATTAAAAATATTAGCAAGAAACCCCCTATATTGTGTTTTTCAAAGCACACCAACCCCTATTTCGAAATTGAATGTTGACTTATATGAAATGACTGAAATACCGTTACAAAATAAATATTAAAAACAGAAAACATAAAAAAAAATTCGAAAATTTGGCGGTGGAGGGTCAGGGTGTCTGGGAGGAGACGTGTGGTGGAAGGAAATGGTAGCGGCGGCGGCGTGAAGAAGAATTTTGTGGGAGACATGTTTTTTCTCTCTGTTTGGAGGTGGATGCTTGACGAGGTGATTGGCGGTGGTGATTTTTATGGGGGAAAAAATAATTTTGGGGAAGAAAGTAATTTTTCTCTCTCGTCTTCTTCTTTTTCCTTTTTTTCGTGTTATTTTTCTTTATTTAAGAAGTTTTAAAAATTGCAATTTGATCCAAAGTTTTGTATTATTTATATTTAAATCAAATAGGATTTTCCTTTTTCTTTTTACAAAAAAATCAGAGGGTATTTTCAAATTTTCAAGTAAAAAAACACACTCCTAGTCGCACGATTCGCGTACGATGAGTTGTTAAGGTTTTTTTTGGCTTTGACTTATTATCATAAGGGGGTCTTTGCTAATTATTTTAACACGATGGAGTTTTTAGCAATTAAAGATTACACAGGGGTAGATTTTGCAAAAAACCCATATGATTTTATCTAAAATTTCAAGAATATATATGGGACTAATACATTTAGTATACCTGGGGTGTTTGGAACCAAGGACGGTTTTTTGTCCAAATTTCTTCCATGCATGACCGTCGTCCTCAAGAAAAGCAGTGACCTTGCATTGTCCCGTATTCTTCCTACGCCATAATATTGGAATCTTGATTTCCCGTTGAACAGCTGAGGCTTTAGCAATCAACGACTCCACGTTTCTTTGCAGAGAATCTAACGTGGACTTGAAATCCTTTATCCTCGACAAGGTGTTAGCTGCTTGTTGCACCAGCTGATTCTCTAAATTAACGAAAAACGAGTCTTCAATTTCAAGACAAGGTTGCAAGTCCTCCAGTGTAGTACTGTTAGTGTTGTGTGCATCGTAATCTGCCAACTGCTCCCCCGACATGGAGTAAGAGGATTCCATACTTGCCTTGTCCAGCATTTTAACACCTAAAAACAACTGCTCCCCCGACACACCTAACAAGAAATTTGTCATCAAATTAAATACAAAGCAGAAAAGAAAGATATTCAGCACTCACTCATTCATACATACATACATACTTTCAGTAAAATTATTTATATATCGTTTCTAATTTCATTGATTAAATTTAGCACAGGAGGCATTCGAAACCTCCTTCAAAGTTTACATGATGATACTAAGACGGAGAACACAATGTATTAAATGCTAACCCCAATACCCGAATCCTTCCGTCTGACTTGGCGACTATTGCCTAATAAACGTTATCATCTTTCCCTAAGAAGAAGGATTGGTTCATTGTGGGCACCAGGTCCGGGTCCGCTACCTTAACAGGCCGTTGAGTTACCATGATTTACATTTCTCCATCAATCCTTGTCGGGCCAAGGGATGGGGGCCCTGGGGGCGAGGGAATTCGCCTTTTTGGTGCAAGGGTGTTGTTTGTTTGCTACTAATAAAAGTTATCAGTTACATCTGAACAAGTGGAGGGTCTTAGCCTAACCTCCAAAAGTTGTATGGGCTTTTGGTTCCAAAAAAAGGTTCATGGAGGTTGTTTGGATTGAGTTATTTAACAAGAGATTTCAAATCCATAGCTCTCATATTTAGTAGTTTTTTAAGCAATTACCCGGATTTCAAATTATTTCACATTTGGAATCATTTCAAATCATTCCAAATTTGGATTCATTTCGAATCCTTCAATCCAAGCGCAGTCTTAGGTCTTTAAGTTCTAAAGAAAGAGTTGAGATTGCTTAGGTTCAATATACGATCGGGTAGAATTAGTTCATACTAACACATCTAAGGAATATGATAGACTTGTAACAAAATAAGTCCATGTTTGTCAAACTTTTCAAAGAAAAATTTCCTAAATAATTTCAATATTTATATTTTTTTCCTTCGGACACAATCTGACAAATATTTTCCACTGAAAACAAACAAACACCACTTAATTTTCGAACTCTCTTAGTATTGTATATGTTTCAAACATGTTGACATGATTTGATTGAAGATTATAATTCAAATCAAACCAAAAGAAATACGATGGACATGTAGATCTATTTTCTCAAAAATGTTTGTTTACCCATTTTCAAATTAATTTAAAATTCAATTCTCTCAGTTTTATTTACATCCAAGTCCCTTTTACCGATTTAAATTTGTTATCCAAACACAACATCATTTTAAATTCCCTCATTTCATAAAACACACACACACACGCGCATATATATATATATATATATATATATATATATATATATATATATATATATATATATATATATATATATATATTAAAGACCTGCAATTATATATATATGTACTGGGTAAATCCGGCAAACAAATTTCAGGTATACTTTTCATTCAAGCAAAATTGCACAAAGTACAAAACAAATATTGATAATATATGAATGAATAAGAAGGAAAGAGAAGATAAATGCATAGATGAAGAACATGGAGCAGCGATGAAAGAAGGAATTGACTCACCTGCAGAAATCTCCTTAATTCATATATAATAATAGCTATTCCTCAAAATAATGAATGTTTGGTTCTGAATTCTGATCAATCTGTGATGGTGGTTGAACATTGACTTCATAAATCAAATGTGTAAGTTGACCAAATAGTTATTAGGTGGGACTACGTTAATCCAATTAATGGAGGATGCACGAAACTGCTTAGAAACTCACGACCAATTAGAGTTATTTTATTATATTATTTTTTTAAATTGAATTTTTAAAAGCTATCCAGTCATATCTTGTCTTTTATATATAAAATTATATAAATGTAAGAAACACTAAAAGTGACATATTTGTAATCTATATCTTATATATATAAAAGAAAGAAACGCTGGGCAACCCTAAAAAATCCTAATGGTATTTCTGTAATTAAATATTTTTAATATTTTTTTCTCTACTAATTTCTAAGTATAATTTTTAAACATTATCAAAATTAAAACTAAATCATGAAGAACCCTATCTAAAGGTACTTTTGTAATTATTTATTTTCAATATTTTTTGTCTACTACTTTACTAACTATAATTTTCAACAATTATCAATCTCCTATTTTTCATCACTATATCTCAAATCTTTAGAGATAAAGATAGAAATTTTATTAATCTATATATTTGGATTATAAATCTTAATATGTCAGATTTAAAAAAAAATATAATGTTATATAAAATATGAATAATAATACATTATTAAATTTTACTATGTTAGTATACTACATTTTCTTATTATGTATTAAATTTTCAATTGATTATTTTTTTTCACTTTTGAAATAATATCCCGTGCATCGCACGGGGAAAAAATGCTAGTATAATATAAAAAGAGGATCTATGCCCTCAATGATTGACATGTGGCAAATGATGATGTCATTTATCAAAATTGCTTAGTTGGAGTTCAATTGATGAGGTGGATTCTTCAATTGATTAGGTGGCATTTTTGTTTAGGTATGTTTTTAAGTTCTTTCCAATTTTACATTTACACAATCATTTAATAATTAACACATATTTATATATAATATTTCATGAATTCAATATCCTATCATTTCTAAAAATATTATATTTTTTATAATTTTAATTTTATGAACTATATTTTTCGCCTGTTATTTTTTAAAAATTCAGAACACTCGATTTTTTAACATGTATTCAATTTTGTATATCATATTTTACACACTATTTTTTTAGCGAAATAATCATAATTATATTTACTTATTTATACACGGTTAATTAATTGTTTTTATCTCACGTTTTAATTTAATGTTTCGAAATATATTTTTCGAATGTCTTTTTTTTTAAAAAATAGAACACTCATTTTTTTATGATATATATTTTCAAATTTAGTTTTTTTAATAATAATAAATAATACTAATAATTATTATATTTACAAATCATTAATAATTCAAATGAATATGCCAATAAATTAATTAATCACCGTACATGGATTTTTTTTTTGTTTAAATATTTTGCCAACTGAATGTATATGTATTAATTTATTTTTATAAATATTAATAACTAAACAAAATTTACTCCCCATTTCTAATTTTCTCTTACAAAATTTAAAACCCACACAGTTTTCAAGAAAACCCAAAATTAAGAAACCCTTTTCAAGAAAATGAGGGGAGAAATTAAAACTCGGTTCTTTGAAATGAGATTTTCCCTAAATAAGCAGCCCCTTTTCTTGAAAGCTGGAACAGAGAGAGAGAGAGAGAGTATAGAGAGAGAGTCAAGCACGCAAACCAAGAAAGAGCAAACAAGGAGAGCTGCACACTTATTATTGATTTTGCAAAATGATTATTACCAAGGTAGTAATTAATTAGTAACAAAGTAGTTAATTAGTGCTGCATTTTAAACTTTGAGAATGAAGGAGCATTAATTCATTTTCTTGGCAACTGATTTTTTTGCAGCTGTATTTTTATAAAAGCATTTTGAACTCGAATACCTGCATTTAAATAACTCGAAAATTAATTAAAAATATATATTATATAAAAATTACAACACCAATTAGATTGAAATTTTAATGCATTTAAATAACATTACCTAAAAGTTTTTTATTCAGATTTGAATGAGACTTCTTTCCCAGTCATAGACATTCAAGTTTTCGACATCTTTAAGCTCGAAAATGTGAGAAAATCCCGATTTCTTCATGAGAATATTAGAAGCCACCATCACAAGTCTTTCACAGGCATGAATTTCATCCAGTTTCTCAGCCGCACTAATTTCATTCGATACCTCTCCCCACTTCTCGTCATATAACCTGTCCGGAAAAAAAATGCAGATTTTATCAATTTAATCTTGATTTTTTAATTAATTATTTTTTTAAACAAAAAATAAAATAAAAGGGATAAGAATCTTACCATCTCCAGGCAGGATTTGCTTCGGCGGGGCAGTGAATCTTTGTACATAGTGATAGCAAAGAAGTCCCGTCACCGATCAAAGACTCCAACTCTGGTGTAGTAAAAAGAACAGAGTTAAAAGGCACAGACATAACTATTTAATCAATTAAATAATTACAAAGTAATTAAGACGTAAAAGTGTACCTGAAGAACTGGGAACGAGTAGAAGACAAAGTGCAGAAACAGCCGAAGGAAGCAAACTATGGTTAAAGCCCAGAATTTGTAGCAGGTAAAATATAGTGGCAGCCAATACGTCATCGCATCCATTTTCTTCAAACACTTTCTCGTTTTTCGAACTTAACCAAGACTGCAAACTGTGGAAGCTCTCTCTTTTGGAGAAACTATTATTATCATTATCGATCAATTTACGAGAAATTTTTCCACGTATAACTGATGCAATCAGCCAACGCAAAAGCTTCGATACAATTGACTCGTCTTCAGGTTTTGATTGGATAGCAGTTGCGACTGCCCATCTCAAAAACTTCGAAAGATTTTCCTGCCCCTGTGTAATAATATAAACGAAAGAATTTAGTTTCACATATATATATATATATATATATATATATATATATATATATATATATATATATATATATATATATATATATATATATCGGAGAAGAAAAGGTTGTAATAAGTCGAAAATACCATTCGACGAATAGTGACTGGAGGAGTGTTGTGAAAACAGCTTTGAGTGCCAAACACGTACTAGGATCAGACTTTGTTTTGGAGCATGATTCTACGGTTTTGTAGAGCTGAAATAAACTATCTTCTGATAATGTAAAATGCGGTTGACTAATCTCCCTCTTTTGTGATACCTTCAGTAGTAAAGTCAATGTTTTGAGTATTGAGTTGCAGAGGGTGCTTTCTTCTTTGATTAGGTCGAAACTACTGACTAGGAGTTTGAATAGATTCGATGAAAGTTCTGAAAGCTGCTCCATAGCATGTTTTGGCAGCCACTCGATATTATTTCTCGGTGATGTTATATAACTTACAACCTAAATTAAAAAATTTAAAAAAAAACACAAGGGAAAAATGGTTAGTTATGATGCATTTGCTGTCAGAATTCATGCTTCTCCGACAAACATTAAATAATAATAATAATCTGAACAAACAAGATGATGAAACAAGGGAACCAGTACCTTAAATACCATTGGCAATTGTATGAAGGCAGCCCTTTTCTGTTCTTGGCATTTAATCAAATACAGAGACGAAACAATAGATGACAACCATAAAATCAAACCGCCGTGTTCGACTAAAACCCGAACTGCTCTATGAAATTGGCAAGCCTTCTCCACTATCTGCACCACACAATCATTCATTTCAATTTATATCTTCCACTCAATAAGCCAGTTGTAGAAAAAATAAAATAAACAGAAAAAGTAAACCAAGCACACCTGGATAATAAGTTCCTTTGAATCATTATCCGAAAGAGGTGAGCAATAAAAACTCATGAGTGTCTTAAAAATGTGATTGCCGAGATATATTTGAGCATCATCTTCAGTATTCAGCCCAACATACAACAACCGAAGCATCCACAACCGGTCCATTTTAAACTTATCGGAACTACTCCAGAAAAGAGTCGAGAATAATGGAATATCCTGTCATCATTTAAGACAATGTGTCATTAAAGTGTATTTACCTCAAAACAAAAGGAAAAATCAACACAGAAAAAAATAGCATATATTTTAGAGCAAACATACCTTCATGTTAACACAACGGGACTTATTGAAATACTCGTATATGGAAGAATGATTGGCGTATGATTCGTCCAACAGTACCAAAGAAGCCTCTGCGCAGAATATGGCAATAATGGATGGAATTCTTCGCCATTGCCCTTCTATTCCATTTTGCAAAGATGTCATCAACAGACCAAGTCGTTTCACATCCTTCTTCTTTTGACATTTCTGTTAGAGGTTTTATGTTTTTAATATTTCAAACTGATAAAAGATTGAAGTGCATACATTCATAGTGCATAATGTTAAATAATTTTCTTAGACACCAAAGAAAAGTATGAAGTCCACGGCTCGAAGGAAAGAACCATTTGCACTTCATGGAAATCGGATGGCCCGGATCGGAATAAGCACGTTCGGAAAAAATATGGTTTTTTGCGAAAGTGGAATATCTATTCCAATTCTGTTCCAAAATAATCGAAACAAAACAGAAATCGGAATTTCGGAAATTGGAATGAAATAAATTTGTTCCGAAATCGGAATTGTTTTGGTTGGAATCAATAAATTCAAAAAATTCCAACTTTTTAGGCACCTAAAACTAAAATATAAAATACATAATAATATTGATATTAGAAGTGTAATTTTGGAAAAAAAATGGAAATTTCGGAATTTTTTTGGAAATTAAAAAAGAATCAGAAATCGGCAATCTCATATATATTCCTATTACCATCCAAAAAAAATCAGAAATAATAGAAATCGGAATTCTACCTCGAGTGCACTGTTGAATTTTGAAAGCGCTTCGTACCCCAATTTCCTAGTAACCTCGTCATTTGAAGACATACTGACAAACGTAATTGCAAGCAAGCCTAAACTAGCAAACTCAATTGGTTCGATATAGTTCCTCGAGATACAATGAATCGAAAAACGGAGGATGAAAATAGGATCGTATATCTGTAGCTTATCAGTTGTCGAACAGGCCTGCACAACGTATTTTTCCAATCAGAAGAATATACAATAGATGCTGAAATGGTGAAATACCATATATATACGTCAAATTACTAGTACAATGAGATTGCTAGAGAAATACCTCAGTCATAACTGTAGAACTAGTTCCTCCATTGACAAATTCGTTGTAAGGAAAATGAAGCACAGTTTGAGCACACATGTTAGGGTCGACCGGAATATTCTCTCTGAATTTAACCTTCTGAAGTTCTTCAAAAGATTCGGTGTTTTTCAAGTCAACAGAATCTTTTCTCATCTTTAGAGAAGATGGTCCCCATATATAATCCGTTTGAGCAACAATCCCAGCACTCGACTTATCATTAGACTCAATTTCCAACATTAAATTATATATTTCCTTATCAACTTCACTACACGTCGCCCCATATGAAGACAAAAGCAGATAGACCAATTCTCTACAATTTATACCCTCCTCATCTCCAACATTTGCTTCTTCTCTTTGCTGCACGTAGATCTGAAAAAGTACTCTGACAAGCTTAATAAGTTCCAGCAAATTTAGATCTGGCTCACTTGTTGATTTCTTGTTTTTGAAGTACAAGGAATCTAGATTAGTACAAGGAATAACGAGAGATGTCATAATGCTACGCATAGGTGTGAAAACCAGCCCAAACTGAGTCGAATCGAGCGATTGGTTAGCAGAATGAATGGACTGTGCAAACTTCGAATGAGCGAGCAAAAGCTGGATTACTGAAATGCATGAAAATTTCCCACGAGATAAAGAAGTTAGAACAGTTCGCAGCATCTTCAGAGTCACGGAATCTTCGAACCTATAGAGAAGAAACGATTTCACGAGCTGTTCTGTGAAGGGAAGAGAATCCAATTTGATAAGACAATTTTGAATCTCTGTAGTCAATTCCGACACATTGTGCATTACAAAGAATTCCAAAAACCTAAACAACGAAAGATTCTCCCCATCAATATTCCCCGAGTAGGCATTATTTTCTGGAAACTTCTTCACAATCAACATCCAGGTACTGATCAACATTCTAAGAAACTGGATTCTTGACTTCTCTAAAGGCGGAGATTCACTTCCATTACAGTCGAAAAATAATAGTATCCTACAAAAGTTGATATACGCAACAACTTTGTTCACAAACTCTAAAGGCTGTTTAAGCGAACGAAGTCCAGTCTCACCACAACAGCAGTCAAAAATATCATCTGCATTAGAGGGGCACACTTGATTAAATAGACTCAACCTCCAATCAAGCTTCGATATATCTTCGTTCGATGCCAGATGATCTCGTGCAATAAGGATTGCCTTTCCTAGAAGACTGTCTGAGAAAAGATTTGAAAATTCTTCTCTTGATGCAGTCAAGAGTTTATCAAGTCTAATCTCGAAAATACTACTAGAGACAAAGATCTTCCACTTAGAGAAACCACCAAAGAGTAAACGACCGTACACCGAAAGGTGGTGAAATTCTCATTTTTTTTTTTAATTTGAATATTCTTGATCGATTAGAATTTGCACAAAGAGAGAGAATTCGAATTTCTCGTCTTTCTTGAAATTTCGCATATGGAGGAGCACTTGAAAATTGAAATTTATTTCTTCATTTGCCATCGAAAAACGACCTAAATCCAAAGGCAGACATATGTAGGGGGCTCGTTCCAGTAATAAGATACAACAAGTCAGCCTTTGTTCTATCAACTTTGTGCAAGCAATGAGAAATTATATCTATAGGAGTGCTTGCAACAATTCTTGATAACACCATTATGGAAGGAAGATATGGATCTTGAACTGATTTATGCATTTTCACAACCTTGACAGCTTTAAGCAGACATTTATCAGCAATGTCTAGTTTAAAACGACAGCAGATCTCGAATACTTGAAAAAAAATCCGTTCAAACAGCAAAACATCAAACTGAGTCTCGGTTCCACCCAAATAACTATATAGTGTACTTTCTGGATTTGGCTGCCCCATATATGCTGAAAGAATATCGAAAGTGCAACTGGCTAAGTGCAAACCAACAAAGAGATCATTTCTTTTTGATGATTGATGGACAGTTGCATTCTTGGAATCAATACGAGAGAACAACCAGTTTACCAATTCAAGCAGCTTAAACGGAGATATAAAACGGATCAAAGTGTGCAAAGCGTAAAATGTTGGGACGAAAGGCTTGAAATCCATGGATTTGATGCATGCATCGAACTTAGTCTTAAATATCAGAAACAGCTTCTGCTCCATTGCTTCAAACACTCTTGATATTTGCTTTCTGCCATTTATAACTTGCTCGGATAATTGATCGTTGCACATCGGAAAGACAAACTCAGCAACTGTTTTGATCAAATCCAAGACATGGTGGTCCATTCTATTAACTGCTTGTTTAGCAGATTGAAGAAGTTCTCCCAAAAACTCCCCAAATATTGAATCTGAAAACTCTATATCACCAGACAGAGGAAACCTCAGTGAAGATGTCACAGAAGGGTGATTAAGGATGAATTCTACCACTTCTGCAGCACAATTTACTGGTATATGGCTCAGATTTTTATCCAATAATTGTTTCACCAAATACTCGGCGAGAATAAAACATGTTTCGGAAGACATCTTGAGATCATCCGAAGATCCGATTCTGTAGGATGAGCTGGCATGATTCATCCAGAACATTACATAGCATAGCGAAGAAACCAAATGATCAGATGGAACCGCAGTCACTTTATCCAAAAGCAACTTTTTGAGCGCCGACTGCTCAAATAAATGGCAGCTGCTACTTTGTACAATGGCTGAAAATAGTACACAAAATGGAGCGCTTCTTAAATACCGAGCAAATGCAGCAGAAGCAGCTTTTTTCGAATCAAGGTCACCTTTACACGAATTATCTTCCTTCTCTTTACAACAAGTAACACTACCCAGAGCATCAAAGAGCATTTCAGGCCATAATTTGGAAACATCAGTGAGAAAACTCGATTGAAGGAAAAACATAGATGATAAAACTGAGAAAGGGGCTTCGAGTAGTTCACTTGAGATGGATAAGACTAATGGGAAATTCTGCAAAATCTCGGTGTATCTTGTGCACAGCAATGAGAAGGAAAACCCCACTGTCAATCCAAAAAGTCCACTCTGATACTCACTCCTTAAAACTCCTTTAATATTCCCAAGAGTATCGCTAAAAGAATCACTCGATGTTGTAACATTCTCAACATTGGAATAAATACTGTAGAAACGGTTATGCAAAATATCACGTGCAAAACGCAATAGACTATTCAGTGGCCTCCACTCGCATGGACAATCAACGAGTTCCAATACATCAGTTTTGCTGCTAAAATTATCGAGCATCTCCGATAGTGCACGGTCAATTAGCAACGACAGTGTTCTAGTATTCACCTGGCAAATTTTATTGCATTGTCTCTTATTATAACCAAGAAAAACAATAAAAAGCATGAAAAATTAAGCAAGCATATCACTATTACCTGTGTATCTAATAGATATTTGATTGTGTTGCAAACATACAATGATACCAATGACTTCTGCGGTATCGTGAATGATCCAGACTCGGAACTCAGCAATCGTATACACTTCTCCAAGACACATATTATAAAAGGGCTCACCTCAGGAGATAGATCTGCTGGAAATATCAGGAGATAATTAAGATGCAAAGAAAATATCAGTGTAACACATGGGACAGTAATGGCAAGTAAAGTTATAAAGCAACAGAAAAACACTAGCCATGCAGATTATCTTGAGGATTTCATGCTAACTTTTCTTCTAGAATTAGAAAAAATGCTTCAAATAATATCACTGTTTAAGCATCAATGGAGTGAGGGAATTGATCTATCTGTGAAATTTTTGTTCTCAGAGTATTATGCAAACATTTGTAGTAGATATGATGAAAAGGCTATACTAGTACTAGTCAAAAAACAAATCACCACCAAGACAGAACCCCAGTTCACTGCAGTAAGTGAAACATAAAACCCTTCCAAATATCACACTGAAGGAAGATTGGAGAGTGAATACCAATTACCTTTACCCCCTGAGTCATAGATGTAACGCTTCAATAATTCCATATACTTGTATAAGTTATTCCCAGTCGTGGAAACAGCATCACATAGAAAAGAAACAATAACCGAAGACAACTTCTGGAAGATTTCAGCTTCCGTATCTTCAACATAGACATGATCTCCACTATGGCCAGGTATAAAAAAGAACCATGCACAAATTTCCCTCGTGTTATTATCGAATGCACCAGTGCTTAACATGGCTGCCTTTGCTAAGGCATAAGCTTGTTCCTTAGTCTGCCCAGCTGGCGAACCCAATAACCAGACAATAAATGGATTGAGGTGCTTGTACATTTGTGGGGGGGTTCTGATAGTGGTCGCATCTTTAGAAAACTGACTGACGTGTTCGTTAAGCAGTTCTAATAGAGACTGCTGCAGAATTGTTGGTGATGATAGAGGATTATTTGGTAGAAATTTGAACACATCAGATAATCCTTCCATGTCCATAGGCATAGTCCGCTGCAAAACAGTAAAGAACTCTCCGGTAAGTTAAAAGCATGGCCAACAATTTGACTAGGAAAAATCGAACTTCAAGGAGAATTACGTTTTGAGAGTGGAAGGACATCGAATAAATAAGAATACAAAATTTCCTATTCATATATCAAAATTATATATGCAGACTAGCACAAAAAATAAGAAGAGAAAACGAAGTTTAAATACCAATATTTGCATCATTGTAAATAGCCCTTTTAACATGTTCCAAGCAATATGTAGCACTTGACTAATTACAAGAAATTTTTTTAGTTATTTTTTAGGTTAAAATGGAGAAGAAAATATATCAACATGCTCAAAGAGAAGCAACTTTTAAGGCCATATCCATCAAAGAGAAGCAACTGTTAAGCACTGAAATCAGTCGATAATCGATACTAATACATGAAATCGAAATAACCTTCCAAATTCTTATTATTCGAGCCGATATCCATCAAGACTCATCGTGACCAAAGTTTAAAAGTGACCAGAAAACCAGTTATTGTCCTGTACGTCTTAACAGATGTAGTCTATAATAAACCCTTAAACGCCACATAACTTATAAGTGAATCAAGATCTTTGAAGTAAAAACAATATGTCTCCGTCTTTTAGATCCAATTCAGGAAGAAAATTAAATGTCACAACTAAGATACTGAGTCAAATTTATCGGAGTACTTCCTAGATACTCGACAGCTATCGTATTCCAAAAAAAATTGAAGTAAATAACTTACATAATAGATTGCAAGTGATTCAAGTATCTTGGAGAAAAAATATGTATCGCCATCTTTTAGATCCTTAGGCGTCGTAGAGCATTTACGCAAACCCCACAGATCTCTGATACAACTCACAATATCAGATCCATTCTCCTCCGATTGTTGCTCACCATCTGATTCTGTAACCACACCATCCCCGGATAGATCTATCTCAGAGGAATTAACCCCACTTATAAGAATATCCACATCTTCACTTGCTGCAGAACTTTTCAACCTCTTACTAACATTCACAGAGTGTTCTGATTCAATTTCTGCTTCAGCCTTCCTTTTCGTAGTAGACTCGAAGCTCTTGAAGTGGCTATGTAGAGGAGAAAGTAAAGACAACAAAACTTGGGGGTCAGGAAGTGACATACGAGCTCCGTTTTGAATTTCCGCCTTCAATGCTTGCCAGCTATCCTTTGTCTGATTGTTCGAACGAGCACAATTTTCCAAGGCTTTAATCAAAGAGTCCAACAATTTCAGTGCCTCCACTACAAACTTCAATGCTCCATGTTTCACAAGAGAATCAATGTGAAGTAGCCCTTTATTGATAACTAATCTGGTGAAGGGTTGTGGTCTTATGCATTTTAGAACACTCTGCAGATTCTGACTGTCGAATGCAGGTGGTTTATCTTTATCAACAAAGCCAAACGAAAGTCCCTCACTAACTGAGGAAATCACATCTGCAGCCAACGAAATAGCAGCAAACCTACAAGAAGCCGAATTTATTAACTATATTATTAGCATTATAGAGATACAATTAAAACAGACGGTAAAACATCTAACCAATTATCCGATGCAAGATCTTCAAGGCTGTAAGGAAACTCATCCAAATAAGCAGAACCAAAAGAAGGGCGTCCTTTTGCAATGGCCAGAAGCAGGCTCTTATGGTACTCAATTTCTGTCGCCTTCAATTTTTTCATTAAATCCACAAGACGCTTCAAATTCCCAGGCCTATTCGAATCGGGCATCAACCCGTTTTCAGGGTTAGTGCAAACCATAACCAACACATTGTATGCCAACTCCGGTGCAGCACCGAAACCAAACCTCCCTGAAATATTAATCAAATGCTCCAAAGTAAGGCTACCAAATAACACACTCCTACGGCTTGGTGGCACGAGTGACTCTTGAACAAGAACCCTATCACGTAAAGTTGACAGAATATGAACCACCGTCTCTTCATCGTCATTCCCCAGCCCCCTCATAACCCCTGAAAACATCTCCTTGTGTTTCATACTCAACATCACCTTCAACAAACGTGGATTGCCAACTTCCAAAAACGACATTGCAAAAGCCACAAATGCTTTTCTTGTGGAGTGACTTTTCCTTCTCTCCTCAACTTCTTTCTTCACCCTCAGTCTAACTTTGGCCAGATTAGTAAAACCCGCAAGCTTGTAATCGAAAACCTTCTCCACTTCCCCAGCAAAATGCAAACTACGTCTCACAATAGAGGCCAGCAACAAGAGGGCGGTGTTCTGCCGCTTGCCCTCTCTACTGTTCAACTCCTTATACAAATCCGACATCCTCTCCTTAATAAGCATTGTTGCAAACTTATTCAACGTCGAAGAAATATCAGCACCGCCACGCTGCTTCATAATCGCGGCAACTAAATTCAGAACATGCGGAAACCCAGGCTTGTCTTTGTGGGATTCCCAAGCTTGGGAAATTTCAATCAAATCCGACGATGTTGAGACATATATACGCATAACTTCAGGGGCTGAATCGGATTTGAGAATCTTGATAAATCCTTTGGAGGCATCGATAAACAACGATTGCTCGGCGGATGCCAAGTTCCGAAGGAGCTCTCTAAGCTTGGCTTCGTAGTTCATTCTGAAAAAATTATTTAGAGATTACCTCCGACTGTTCTTCGCGCGATTTTGCAAGTATTCTGTCAATGAATAGAGTAGAAGTAAGTCCTTAATCACGCTCAATTTATATCCAGGAAGAGGCAGCAGCGCTTTTTCTCTGTAAAGTAAACCAACATACGGCGTACAGATTGATAATATCGCGTCGCCGGTGACCGATAATTGCGGCGGCGGAACTGCACGCCAAGTGTTTGATAAATTGTGGCGGCGAGACGAGAGTGTAGTAGGGAGAGAGAATTGAGAAATCAGAAGAGCGGGCAGGGGTATCAGGTATTTATACTTAAGCGAGTCAAACCTTAATCAAAAAGTCAATACTTAGGTCTTGTTTTGTTAATTAAGAAAAAATTGTAAGAAATCCTTTTTTTTTCTTTTATTCTTTGTTTCATTTTTTTCCCCAAATTACGGGCCACCCATGAGTTAAGGTCAAATTACGAAAATCCCCTCCTATTTGGGTAATTATAGTCACCCCTCAATTATGCATTATCTTACTAAAAAAATCATCAAGAGGTAAATTTAAGAATGTTAGTTCGGTACGCCAACATTTGGTACGCCAACATTTCATTACGTAAATTTTATTGAAAATATTTAAAAGGATGATGGTGACTGTAATTACTCAAATAAGAGGGAATTTTTTTCGTAATTACCATTATCTCAGGGAAGGGCGTAATTTACCCTATTATTTTGTATAAAAAAATACTCATAGCTAAAAATTTATCGTGTATCGTGATGAATTATAGACAATGGAAACAAACTAAAACAACGGTATTCGGTCAGAAATAATAATATTTTATCGTCACGATGAGTAAAGATGAACCTAATTCGCGTGGAGAAAGTATGTAAAAGTTTTTCTTTTTTTAGTATATGCACCTACCCTAAGGACTAGCAAGTGTCTTTAAGATGTCAAAAGGGATTTAAGTGCAATTACCCCTTTTATAAAATCTCAAGAAACCTTAAAATAAATTTCAATTGATCTTGAACATCAATGTATCGAATATTTTACTTAGATTTATATGATTTCTAAATACATCGATTAGTTAAATCTAAATGTCAATGATTTAATTAGTGTATCCCAAAAAAGAAAATTATAATTAAAAATAAAAATAAAAAAGAGAGAGAAAAAGAAAATGGGTTAAACGGGCCGGATCCCCTGAAAACGGGTCCCCCTTTTCAATTTATGCACTGCAAATATTTCTTAAGCCAATCACTTTGATTCCTCTCTCTCTCTCTCTCTCTCTTCTGCGAATTGCCCTTCGCTGCATAATTAACAGCCATGGCTTCTACTTCTGCTTCAGCTACCAGTTTTAAATCCTTCGAAACTATGGCGATTTCGAATAACAACTATGGCTATTCTCACTCACTCAGACCTAATACAAACCATTTCTTGAAATTCAAGCCGAGTTTCAGCTCCAATTTTCTGTCTCTCTCCGTCACCACAAAATTGCCCAGAAGAAAATTTCAAGGTGACTTCTTCAATTCTAGGTTTCCGTTACTTTCGAATATTTATTTTAGAAATGGTTAATCGATAAGTTTTTCATGTTTGCTGAGAACCCCTCATGTAAGGTCAAATTACGAAAAACCCCATTGTGGTTGGGTAATTACAACCGCCCCTCAATTATGAATCTTCTTAAACGTCCATTTCGAATTCAACATAATCTTCTACGTGGAATGTTCTAATTTGTACTCGTTTTGTGCGAAAATGCAGTTTATGATGCACCAAATCTGATATTTACAAGTTGACAGACATATGTTATGATTATCTTGTTTCGAAACGTGGAGCTCAAATAGGGTAAAACGGGTACAAATTGAAGAATAGTCCACATAATTTAGAAGATTCCACTAAATTTGACACAAAAAGGGTGAACGTGTAAGAAAATTCATAGTTGAGGGGTTTTTTCGTAATTTGACCTAACCTTAGGGGGTTGGCCGTAAATTACCCTAAAAAATGATGATGCCCTTATGTTTACAGTTAATGTAGTCTAAGCAAGAATCTGTAGTTTCTTTTCAGTATGAAATGCACTTGGGCGGGCTTCGTTTGTACGAATTAGAATCTGCGAATATTTTTATAATGCATGTTTAAGTATGATATATACACTCTTATTATTGTTTTTGTTCCAGTGAAATCGATTGCTGCTCCGACGGAATCAATATCAGGCTTCGAGGAAATGGTAACTGGTACTCAGCGTAAATATTACATGCTTGGTGGAAAGGGCGGAGTTGGAAAAACTAGCTGTGCCGTATCACTTGCTGTTAAGTTTGCAAATAACGGTCACCCTACACTAGTTGTTTCGACCGATCCCGCACATTCTTTGAGCGATTCTTTCGCCCAGGTTTATATTTTTTTTTCGGATTTTTCGTCAAAATTTTCAAGAAGTGTCAATTTTGTTCGGTTGTTTTTTAAACGTAGGATTTAACCGGTGGAACGCTAGTAGCTGTTGAAGGTCCCGTTTCGCCACTTTTTGCACTTGAGGTGAGTGGGCAAGTGTTTCTCGAGAATAAAAGAACCGTCTTTTTCTTGTGCCTCGTTTGGCGAAATTGAATCTTTTTTCGGTGGGACAGATAAACCCTGAAAAAGCAAGGGAGGAATTTCGAAATGTTAGCCAAAGTAACGGTGGGACTGGAGTCAAAGATTTCATGGATGGCATGGGTCTAGGTTTGATTGCCGATCAGGTAAAACTTTTCCGACCCGTGGTGAAATTCTCATTTTTTTTTAATTTGAATATTCTTGATCGATTAGAATTTGCACAAAGAGAGAGAATTCGAATTTCTCGTCTTTCTTGAAATTTCGCATATGGAGGAGCACTTGAAAATTGAAATTTATTTCTTCATTTGCCATCGAAAAACGACCTAATTAATATTCGGATTTTGTTTGGGCTTAGCTCGGGGAATTAAAGCTTGGAGAGTTGCTGGATACACCTCCTCCTGGTTTAGACGAAGCTATTGCAATTTCAAAGGCGAGTTTTAACGTTTTGAATTAGATCGTTTAGCCGACATTTTCTCGTAAAAAGCTTTCCGTTACTGAGTTGAAGAATCTTTTGTCAGGTTATTCAATTCCTCGAATCACAAGAATACAACATGTTCACTCGGATAGTGTTTGATACCGCCCCGACGGTGAGGAACAAATTTAATTTTCTTTTGATAAATATATAAGTTATAAAAAAAAGATCCTTTTTTTACGACGGGCTTTTTTTCAGGGTCATACATTACGACTTTTGTCTCTGCCAGATTTCTTGGATGCATCGATTGGGAAGATATTGAAGGTAAAACATTTAAGAGGGAATATTCCGACTTTTTTTTTTTAGGGTTCATTTACCTTTTTGTCCTCACGTTTTCTTGGCAATGCATGTTGCAGTTAAAGCAGAAGATATCTTCGGCTACTTCAGCTATAAAGTCCGTCTTTGGCCAGGGAGAAAATAAACCAGACGCTGTAAGCCTTAAATTTTTATCTTATCCTAGTAATTAATAACATGTTTTTCGATCCGACTGAATCGCTGACATCATTAATTTTTATTTATTTATTATAGACCGACAAATTAGAGAAATTAAGAGAAAGAATGATAAAAGTGAGAGAGCTTTTTCGTGATACAAGCTCTACCGAGTTTGTAATTGTGACAATCCCCACGGTAATGCCATTGTTTAAACTATCGTTTAATTTGAATCAAGTGATTTTGCATTTTATTGTTTGTTTGATTTTTTTATGGAGGAATTATTCTTCGATTTAAAAAAAAATTAATTTAAAAAAAAAATATTTTCAGGTGATGGCAATCAGTGAATCGTCAAGATTATGTGCTTCGTTGAAAAAAGAAAGTGTTCCTGTCAAGAGGCTAGTTGTTAACCAAATCCTTCCTCAATCTGCCTCCGACTGCAAGTTTTGTGCAATGAAAAGAAAGGTACGACCGTACGAGTACTAATTAATTAAAGTAATTTAATCATTTTTTACTATTACATACAAAAAAGTCGAATAAATTATAATTTTCCGAAGAAAAAAAAAGTCCTGTTTTTGTTTAGTAGTGGTCACGTAACAAAGAGCAAATGAAACAAAGATATAAAATCGAATTTTTCGAATTTTTTAATCTATAATGTTTTTTTTTTAATGTCAGGATCAAACACGAGCTCTGAGCACAATCGAGAACGATCCAGAACTTTCCGAATTGACAATGATACAAGCACCTCTTGTTGATGTAGAAATAAGGGGAGTACCTGCTCTTCAGTTTCTAGGGGACATTGTTTGGAAATGAAGCCCTTTCGTTTTATCGGCTATTGGTGTAAGTTTCATTTAAAATACTATCTATTCTCGGGTTTTTTTACATTCATGCGTTTATTTGAGAATTAGAACTGCCTTAAAGAAGTCTCGAATGATGTCTATTGGGTAAATTACGTCCACCTCTGAGGTAAGATCAAATTACGAAAAAAAACCCTAATGTTTGGGTAATTATAACCGCCCCTCAACTATGAATCTTCTTATACCCCCGTCCACACTTGAGGTGTCAAATTTAGTGGAATCTTCTAGATTATATGTAATATTCTCCAGTTTGTACCCGTTTTACCCCATTCGAGCTCTACATTTTGAAATAAGATGACCATAAGACGTGTCTCTTGGCTTGTAAATATCAGATTGTGGTGCATTTTTTGCACAAAACGAGTACAAACTAGAGAACATTTCACGGAATTTAGAAGATTCTGTTGAATTTGACACCATAAGGGTGGGATGTGTAAGAAGATTTATAGTTGAGAGGTGGTTGTAAAATTACCAAAACATGAGGGGTTTTTCGTAATTGACCTTAGGGGTGACCGTAATTTACCCTAGAGATATATATCATGTTACACCACTACAAGTGAATTCTTGTTTGACCTAATCTCTCTCTCTCTCTCTCTCTCTCTCTCTCTCTCTCTCTCTCTCTCTCTCTCTCATATGCAGGTCTCTTACTACAAATATGAAACAGATATACAAGCAAGCATTGCCAGGTGGAAATTTGCTTAAGCCTAAATTATTACAAGAAAGATGAATATATATATATATATATATATATATACCCTTTTTTTTTTAACACAAGGGAGTTAGATAACAAAACTAAGGGAGATAAGAGTGATCATTGAACCAACATCTTCTTTCGAAATATTCGTCTGTAAATTAAACCGATTTTACATTTACACCTCGTTCGTATTTCCATGTATCGAACTTTTTGTATTCATATTTCTTCAGGGATTCAAGGATCAAATTTTACTTTCGAGATCAATTCATTCAAATAAAATTGTATGTATGTATATATATACAAATCATATAAACATGCCCCTCAAGGCCCCTATTAGCGTATATATTTGTCGTCTAATCTAATTTCATTACAAGTTGTTAGCCGTGACTCGATCGACCTCGTATAAAAATAAACAAATTTTAACTACATGTATATTTTTTAACAAGTTTATATACTTTATTATTTCTTTCCTAAAGTTAGCATACCGATGAAAGCTACGATTCGACAAGCTGCACCGGCTCCCACGAGAAGGTATATACATCGATACCATTCATGCAGATTGTACCCCGTTCTCATAAGTGCACCGCACCGTTGTATTAGCCATACACCGTAATATCTGCAAGTATCGAATAATAAACAAAAACCAAATGAGATATATTTTATTTAATCAATCGTTTCATATCTAAAAGAATATTTCGTAAATTCAACAAACCTTTTTGCGTTCGAAACAATAAACGCTTCCAAAGCCCAACGCGGATAACACAGACGCGTCAGAGTCTTCATAACTTGACTGTTTGTGGGCTGTGTCGAAAGAAGAGTCAAAACCACCGGTAGAAGTACCGAACACTGCATGCAAACATGGAATGAAATTGACGTCTAACGAACCCGAACAAAAAAATAAAATAAAATAATTTTTCTTTCTTTCTTTTTCTTTTTTGCTTTATTTACCAGCTGAGATGGACCGGGTTCGAGGAATATTGCCAATGCGTAAGCGATACCGGTGACGCAATATACGAGACAGAGAAGTACGATGTAATTGTCCAGAAAGAGAGATCTCGGATTGCTAAAGAAATAAAACATCGATAGATACACTAAAGGCTTAATAAGTGTACTAAAATGGTCGATTGTGTCTTTCGCAATAAAATGAGCGAGGCTGCTTATTCCCGAAGCACGTTCTCTCTGGTACTGTAACTTGTCCAATGAAAACGTCCTCAAAGCCGAGATTTTGCATAGCAAAGCTGATCAAAATGCAAAAAAGATTTAGAAAATTTGAAGTAAATAAAAAAAAAAAAGTTTATTGAAAAATCGAGAACTTTTTTTTTTTTTTTTAAGTTTCAACTCACAAGTAGCTATAATGGTGTAAGTGTAACCGGGTCCACCAAAGCTTTCGTCGCTCGCTTTTGTAATAAGACCCAAACAAGCACCAGCAAGAAGCAATATCAGATAGTCTATTGCTTGGATTCTCGCTTCTCTAAGCCTCTGTTTAGCCATCCTACAAAACGAAACAAAAGTTCGAAAGGGCAAAATCGTCATTTTCATTTATCTGGTTTTTTTTTTTTTTTTTTTTTTTTTTTTTTTTTTTTTTTGTAATTCGGGCGAGAAGGAAAATGTTTTCTTTCGTGTTTACCTTCCTAAGAAGTGCCTGTACTGTAATAAAATCCAAGGAGTTCTCCTCCCCGACAAATCCTTCGACTTCAAGAAATTATTCTTCAACACGTCACATTGAGCTTCCACTTTATATTTCAAATTTTGCCAAAATTCCCCAAAAAACGAGAGCTGTTGTTCAGTACCGGAGCCAGGGTAGTTTTCTTGATTTCCAGAATAAGCGGGCTCACCTACACCAGAAACACTCTTCTGCATGTCCGCAGGTACAGGGTAGCCCTTATGGAGCATCCATCTCAATGGAAGCTCCTCGTAAGTCAAACCTGAGCTAGTGCTCGGTTTGACCATTCCTTCCAAAACATCAATGAAATAATCGGGCGGATTAATACGTTCCGGAACAATAATACCGAGATGTGCAAAGTATTCTTCGACATCTCTCACTTCACCATGGTAGGCTGTGAGACCTCCCTTTGCTAGAAGTATTAAATCATCGAACGTTTGAAACAGTGCATAGCTGAAAAAAATGAGAAAAGGGTTTAATGCATGCATAGGGTTCTTGAAACTGTAGTTGGAGAAAAAGGGTTTAATGCATTCAGCACCCGTGTGTTTATCCTAATTATTAAAAACACCCCGTGTTATTTTATTACAAAAAACCCTCGATGATTCAATTTTGTTAGCAAACTAACCCAAAAAACTCACTTTTTAGGGGGTTGTGTGCTAAAAAAATGTATTATACAGGGGTTGTTGCCAATATATACAGGGACTTTTTTAGCTATTCGATATAACACATGGGTGCTAAATGCAATAAACTCATAAAAAAGGGTTTTTTTTTTTTTTAAATTATTTCAAGATAGTTGCTAAAAGATATTTATTACCTTGGTTGGTGGACAACCATGCAAATATTGACACCCTCAACAGCTTCACGTTTGAGCGCTCGAAGAAGGAGCTGAGAAGATGAGCTGTCCAAACCAGAGGTGGGTTCGTCTAAGAATAGAAGAGAAGGTTCCATTACAAGCTCGAGTCCTACATTTACACGTTTTCTTTGTCCACCGGAGATTCCTCGTTTTTCGATTGTTCCGACTAAGGAGTCTCTCACTGGCTGCAGTCCTAAAGATTCGATGACTCGTTCCACTACAAGTACCTTGTCTGCTTTCGGTAAATCTGCCGACAATCTATCGAGAAGAAAAATGGAACTAATTTGTTAGCACAATAAGATTGAGGTATTAGCCAAGATAAAGATTATTGCAATCTTGTCTCGATAGTATAGTTTGGGCCTTGTTTGGTTCCTAAGATTAGCCTAAGATAAAGATTAAATAGTCTAATGAAAACCCAAATATATTGGACCATGGAACCGAATTAGCGAAGATATAAAGCCATTTTTTCCACAATTGCGGGCCAGCCCGAAAAGTTATTCCTAACCAGTTATTTAATTAATCGTTGCTAATCTTACACAACCAAACGAGGCCTTAAAAACTTAGTAGACATCCAAGAAAAGGGTCAAACACACATTCTCACTAAACCAAGAAAAGGGTACATTCTTCCCAAATTCCGGCCCGGCCCGAAAAATCAGTGGACTAACCAAATACTTCAAATAAAGCTCAATTCGTTAAATTAATCATGAGTTATCAAGCCAACCAAACAAGACCTACGTAGATTGTACGAAAAATCCAAGGCATATCGATAAATTGTTCATACCTGCAATTGGCACTGAACCAAATATTCTCTTCGACAGTTAGATTCCCATGCACGACATCATCCTGCGGTACAAATCCAACAATCTTCTTATACGACCTAACGGACTCCACTTTCCCGTTTATAAGAATTAATCCACTTATCAAACACCCGACCGTTTTTCCAGCCAATGCCGAAAGAAGAGTCGTTTTTCCAGCGCCAGAGGGTCCCATCAAAGCCGTTATTCTCCCCGGTCTAATTTCCCCTGTTACAGATCTCAAAAGACACTTCTTTTTCTGCTTCAAAGTTACCGGAGGGACCTTCTCGTTCATCGAGACCGAAGGGATAATCCAAGACGCCTTCGCGCAGTGCATTGGTGGACTATTGAGCGTTGTGGTTAAGGATCTTCGTTTGGGGATCGAGTGCGTGGGCCCCACGGTTTATATAGGATCTTTAAAAGCAGGGAGTTATCACAACCGGGTGATGCCCGATCGACGGACGGGATCGATTGATGTTGGAGATCGAAAGAGTTTGTGAAATTGGAAGGTGAGGAAGTTAGAATCGAGAGAAACAATGATGTGGCAAAAATATCGATCGAAGTGGACAGGCAACAGAACAGAATTCGGGAGGCAGAAGCTATGGCGACGGCACGAGCCCTGGCGGGGGCGGTGTCGGCGCTCGAGAGCTTCCGGAAGGTTCTATCAGAGACCGCTTCGGCGAGGTCAGGCGACAGGCTGTGCGCGTCGCTCGAGGCGGAGGTGAAGGAGATGGAGGAGCGAATGGCGAGCCGACATGTGTACGAGGCGTCGGGGAGGGCTTATATATTGTCGGGGCTTAGCTCGCACTCGTGGCAACGAGCGACAGCTAGAGGAGATTCGACGGATGGATCGAGCCTTGTTCAAGCCTATCAAACACCGTCGATGGTTGAGATGGTGACTCGTTCGCAGGCTTCCGTCGGGTCAAAGGCTTCTTAGGCCTATGTGGTCGTCGTTCGGTTCACAACCGAAGCCGAGGTAGTGGTTTGTCGGTTTTAGTGTCTTTTTTATCGTCTAATTTTGGTGGAGAAATAAATTATGTAAAAGATGGGGGGTATATTGGTAAAGGAATGTGGGGAAAGTTTTAGCTAGTGGTTTTTTTGTAATTTGTGTGATTGTTTGGGGGTGATGTAGATAATGGTATATGGTTTTTTTGGGACAAAAGGGGTATTATTGGACTGTAATTGTTGGGATACTGTCTAATGTACTGTCCACTTCTTATTATGAGAAATTGCAATCCAGTCCCCACTTCTAATTGAACCGTGCTTAAGAGCTTAATTTTAATTTTTCAAGAGCTCATAAATTGGCTTATTATTATTTTATTATTTATTATGAAATATTTTTAATAACACTTAAAATTAATAAAACCAAACTTACCTAGATATTATGAAAACAGGGTTGTTAAAAATAAAATAAAATAGTAACAGTAATTTTTTATTTCTATATTGAAAGAAATAACAAAAAGAAAAATACAGTTTTCATCCCTCAAGTTTGCACCAGTTTCATATTTAGTCCCCCATGTTCACATAAAACAGATTTGGTCCCTCATATTTCAAAAATTCTACACTTTTAGTCATTTCCGTCAATTTTCCTTTAAAACTAACGGAATCAAGCGTGTGTCCATCGCTACCGTAACTGACAGACTAAGAAAAAATTGACTGAAATGACGAAAAGTGTCAAATTATTGAAACATGAGGGACCAAATGTGAAATCAGTGTAAACTTAAATGATGAAAACTGAAAATTTCCAATAACAAAATATAATATATATAAAAATATTTAAATTTAGAAAATGAAACTAGCACATGAGGATGTTCACCGGTGAGAATGAGCTCTGAAAAAAAACAGCCTCGAGCGAGCTCGACTCAACACTCTTACTGATATTTCAAGTTCTTCGACATTTTGGAAACGGAATTGAAACAAAATATCACCATTTTGTTTGAGTGAAAACAAGTACAGATTGACCAAATGTGTAATCAATTTCTTGTTACAACAGCCAAAATTGAATAACTAATGTTTCAAGCTACTCACGAAACCGAAAACCAATGCAAGAAATGCATATGAGATGAGCTTATTCTCTCTATATGTCACAAAGAAACAAGTAAGAGACGTAAATCTTAGCTTCATTTACCTTCATTCAGCTTGGGAATTTTCTTGTATTCGTAATTTTCTATGTCGACCTTTCGTTGCAGAGCCTGCAAAAAATGAACGTCTCTTCGGTATGAACAAAATCACTAAATATTCTATGTTAATACACGAGCAATAATAGTAGGGCTTGATTACCTTAAGCTCTTCCTCGAGAGAAATATTTTTCGGTTTGTAGGCATCCACGGGTCCTGTTCTGGACAGTGCTTTTCTTGTCTCGATAATCTCCCACTCTTGATCATCCTTCACTTTTGCAATATCCTTGCTAAATTTTCGATATTTCACTCCATCAGATTAAATAGAAAAAAATCAAAGGCACGTGAGAATAAAATAGTAAAATACCAGATAAATTATTTAATCCCGTTTTCCTATGCCATCAAAACGGAACTAAAATCAAAGGAGCAATCATTGAATACATGATCCAAAGAGTTGAACAAATCCTTGTAAAACTCAAAAAAAATCCAAAACATGCAACCGTAAAAACAATTATGATGCAATGCAACGGCAATTCCTACATACTGCAATTTGGAGCACTCGATTCATGGGCATAAACAAAGTCAAAGAATGATGATTTGGAGAACTCAATTCATGGGCATAAACAAAGCCAAAGAATGATGTCCAAATAATCTTCCGGAAAAAAAAATGACTTCTTGGATAGATCATGTCCGTTTGTTTCTACACAGATACAATCTTTACGCAGCTTAAAATTAAATATGCCTCAGAGATAATATATCCGAAGCGGAGAGAATAAAACACAACTTTCTCGAAAGATAATAAATTTTCAAACATCTAACCTTCCTTGAAGTAGATGGCCAAGTCCTAGAGCTCCAAACACAGTGAGTGAAATCATCGGAAGACCGTATCTAATAAACGGAGATCTTCTGCCCCAACGTTTGAACTTTGGAGCCGAAGACTGCCAGCTGGCGGTGGACGATGCTGATTGGTTATCGACCTTCTTGGGCGGCTGAACTGCTGCCATATGAACGCTCGTCATTTTTTCCTCAGACCATAGAAACTACCTACATCACAAAGTCCAACAATATTTCTATTTAGAAGTGAACGGTGTATATTTCTTACACTAATACGAGATCAAATTCGCAAGCTATATAACATGATTTCGGTTCAAACCTTTTGTCGGATAATCAAGCTAAATAAACAAATTACTAGTTAACAAATTCTCTCATCAATAAACGGGGCAGACGTTTTAGCTTAACTGGACACATAGAAACCAAAATAACTATTTACGATAGGAATAAAAACCAAGGTTTGGTACTTTCATTACAAATGTGGAGTTGCTAAATTCTTATAAAGTTGATAATTAATCCGTCCGCTCGACTATGTATATAATGCCTAAGATTAAATTACATTTTTCTGTACAACAGAGACAAAGAAAAATAAATAAAGAAAAATACAGGTGATGTAAATCAAATTAGGGCAATAGTTTCAATCCAACTGCCATGGCATTCAAGCAAAATCTGTACCGAAACTGTGTGAAAATATGTGCCGAATGTTTCTGCGTAAATCGATGATCGAATTTTTCGTTGAGAATCTGAAACGAATATGAGTTCGAAAATTTGCACCGGATTTGATATGAAAATCTGCATCTATCGTCTTCTTCACACAATTGCTCTGTTTTTTTTTTTACGGATTTCCACCATTTTCTATGTTTTAGGTTTTGGAATTCGATTTAAACACAAATAAATCAAAAATCATGAACAATTTTCAATTTCCAAAGGTAAAAATATAAATCTCGATTTTCAAACCAAACCTATTTATTTCGATTGGAAATTTAATTTGCTTACAGTAGTTCTTGTTTTAGCCGGACGACGATTTGATGACGGCTGAAGGCGGCGTACGGCGGAGGACGGTAACTTGCGGCGGACGATGTGCTTCAGCTTAGTTTTCCAAGTCGGACTTTCAGTGGAATGTTGCAATGTTTCTTGCGTGCTTTCCTTCAGGCGCGTTTGCCAACTTTCTTAGCTTTTGATTCTCTAAAATAAATGGGAAAATTACAGAGTTCGTCCCTCAAGTTTGCATCAAGTGATCACTATTTCAAATCCCAAGTAGGATTTTTTTTTATTTTTTTTTTGCAGACAAGTCCTTCAACAATAAATTCCGAATTTGAAGATCTCTATGAATGCAAATATATACATATTATAAAACCATAAAATAAACCTGTAAACCTAACCTGGAAACAGAAATTTTAGATGTTTGAGGTCCAACTATCGTGTATGCTCATTGATTTCCACTGAATTCTAACCGCCGAGCAGTTAAGCAGGAGTGTTGTTATAAGAACTATAGAGATGGAGAATCAAACAACGAGAACTTCAGAAATTTCAAAAAAATTGAAAAGGGAAGAGAAATCTCTGCAAAACTGAAACTAATTGTGAAAATTAAAGTATGAATCTTCGAATGAAAAAGACGAACGGAAAATTCTACTTCATCAATGAAACGCAGCGATTGGAACTATACCTCGAACAAACCAGTTCTGATCTGGTAATGGAGCGGATCGAAGGCGATTTTGAGCTGTTCGCGGGGGGACACAATTCGCCGGAGCTTGGTTTGAACAAAATCAAAACCTAATTGAGACGATTCGCGAGAGCTCGGTTTCAACAGAATCGAAACCTAATTGTGAAAATTACAGAGATCTCAGAAATTGGAAACATAATTGCAAAGAAACGAAAAATTCAATGGAGGGTATCTGGGCTGGGATCGATTTTAGGTTGGGTTTGGGTTTGGGTTTTCCCTTTGTTGTCTATAATTTGGTCTGATGAGAACGAAGATCCCCTTGTAGGAAAACGAAGTGCGACTTTTGTTTTTCAAATAAGTGCGATCTTGGGCTAAACAAATCTCTCATTTTAATTAATTATTAATTTGTTTGATAAAATATAATTAAGTACTTATAATTTTTTTTTTCTTTTTCTATCAAAGTACTCATGAAACCTCCATTTTTTTTTTGCTTTTTATGGAATTCCTTCTATTAAAGAAGTATCATCAATGACAATAGAATGTTATCACTAAAAAATGTGTTATTGGTGACAATAAATAAGTTGTTACTAAAGAAAAGTAATCATGAGTGACAAGTTATATTTTATCACTAAAGAAAAGTTGTCATTAATGACAACTTGTATGTTGTCAATAAAAGAAAGTATTATTAGTGATAATAAGCATGTTGTCACTAAAGATAAATTACTATTAGTGATAAAAATATATATTTTGTCACTTAATATAGTTGTCTAGTGACGAAATTCATCTTGTCACATACTTTGTTGTCACTAATTAATATTTTTCTTGTAGTGCCAGCACACTCACCACCATTCAATCTGTACTCGAAGATGCCGAAATGAAGCAACCCGAAAGCAGAGCCATACAAAACTGGCTGATCAAGCTCAATGATCTTACGTATGAGATTGATGACATTTTGGATGAGTGTGCAACTGAATTCTCGAAACTGAAGCGCAAAAGCAGCAAATTAAGTCGTTATATTAGTTTGAAGGTGATCCTATTGCGGCACAAGATCGGAAGAAGGATGAACCAAGTCACTCGAAAATTGGACGCGGTTGCTGCAGAACGTGCAAACTTCCATTTACGTGAGATGAGTATTAATGCAGAGAGGTCAACCGAGTTCACTGCCACACGTGAGACTGGTCCCGCTTTGAACGAGTCTCATCACGTATATGGCAGGGAAAGAGATACAGAGAAGATTGTAGAGATCTTGGTCAACCACGTTCGCGGAAATGAAGAGATCTCGATTCTGCCTATAAACGGTGTTGGAGGCCTTGGCAAGACCACTCTTGCTCGATTAGTATACAAAGATCGACGTGTCATTCACCATTTCGACAAAAGAATTTGGGTTTGTGTCTCTGACGATTTTGATCTGAAAACTTTGTTGAAAGCCATGATTGAATCCGGGGGTGGAAATGCTTCAGATTTAATGCACTTGGGTTCTTTACAGCGCGTGCTATGGGAGTTGCTCAACCAAAAGAGATACTTGCTTGTATTGGATGATGTTTGGAACGACGATCAAGACAAGTGGTCTCAGTTAAGAGATGTTTTGGCTTGTGGCTTGAGTGGGAGTTCGATTATCGTCACCACACGATTAAAAAAGGTTGCTGAAATAATGCGAACCCTTCCACCACATTACTTGACTGGATTGTCGGAAGAGCATTGCTGGATGCTTCTCCGAGAACGTGCATTCGGCCAGGGTAATAAAGAGTTATCTCCCAAGCTGGAAGCCATTGGTAGGCAGATAGTGAACAAGTGTTCTGGTGTCCCTTTGGATGCCAAGGCGCTTGGAGGTTTGCTGCGATTTAAGAGGACAGAAAAGGAGTGGATTTACGTAAAAGAAAGTGAAATGTGGGAATTACCTGAAGAAGAAAATTTGATACTGCCAACCCTAAGATTGAGTTATCATCATCTTCCGTTAGCATTGAGACAATGTTTCGCTTATTGTGCAGTATTTCCCAAGGATTCTCGTATTCAGAAAGAAGAATTGATCTTTTTGTGGATGGCGCATGGATATATTTCATCAAAGAGGGTAATGGAAGTGGAGGATGTCGGGGAAGAAATATGTAACGAGCTAGTGTTGAGATCACTTTTGCAATGTGATACAGATCCGGATACAAACAAACCCACTCTCATCATGCATGATCTTGTTCACGATCTCGCCCGGTCAATCCTGGAGAATGAAATTCCTAGAACACAAGTGCTAAGGAATGTCAGAAATGCATCTTACAGCAAAATCAGGCAAGTAAATTTGCGAAGAAAGTTGATGGCATTTCCAACAAGTAATAAACCTGAGATGGACATGTCTTTCGTATTAACAAACTTTTGTCGTTTAAGAATATTAGATGCTAGTTGGACAGGGGTAGTAGATTTGCCCCGTGCACTAGGCAAACTAAAACACTTGAGACACTTGAACTTGTCTGGAACTGGAATTCGTACCCTACCAAAATCATTGTGTAGTCTATTGAATTTGCAGGTCTTGAACTTGGATGATTGCAAAGAGCTTGTGGCTTTACCCAAGAAGATGAGATACTTAGTGAATCTCCGTCATCTGTATTTGGAATCATGCACGTCGTTGAAGGAGATGCCGTCTAAAATTGGAAAACTTATCGGCCTTAGAACATTGAGCCTGTTCATAGTGGGTCGTAATAGAGGTAATCGACTTGAAGAATTGGAATGCTTGAAGCTGTGTGGCGATCTTAAAATCCGCCATCTGGAAAGAGTGGAAAATCCAACAGATGCAAAGAAGGCAAATCTTGCTGCAAAAGAAAATCTTCGTGTGTTGTGGTTACTTTGGGAACGTGAGAAAATTGCATCCAAATCAGGAGGAGAAGAGATAGATGAGAAGGTGCTTGAAGCACTCGAACCTCACCGAAATCTCGAGTATTTAGTGATAAAGGGCTTCGCCGGTAGGTGTTTTCCAGTTTGGATGTCAAGTCCGAATCTGGACAAAGTGGTCGATTTTATTTATCAGATTGCCGGAATTGTTCGCATCTTCCACAACTGGGAAATCTACCCCATCTTAAATCCTTGCTCATACGTAATGTGGCGGGGATCGAGTACATTATTGAGGATCCAACAATAAGCGACCGAGTCCGACAGTACTTCCCATCTTTGGAAACACTGCATCTGAAGTCTCTCCCCAATCTGAAAGGGCTGCTAAAAGAGCAAGCGATGAGATCAGCCGAAGCATTCCCGAATCTTGAGCAGCTCGAGATTCAAAACTGCGCTTCGTTGATACTCCCACCACTCTCATCATCGTCTCTTAATAAGAAGTTGAAGAGATTGTGTTGCAGTAGCACAAATATGGCATCGTTGTCTAAGGTGGACCTGGACGCACTTTCTGACCTCTCCATGGAGATCGACAAGAATATGACACGTACCGCAGTTGAGACGCTGCGGAGCGTCCATAACATCGTGTCTTCGTGGTGTATATACGAAGCAGACGAGGGCTCTCTGCCAGAAGAGGCGCTGCGAGGCTTGAATTTTGTTAAGCATTTGGAGATAGCGAGTTGTGATACGGTGACGTGTTTGCCTCAAGGGTGGTTGAGACACCTCACTGCCCTGGAGGAATTGCATATAACAAGCTGCTCGGAAATCGTAGAGGTGCCGGAGGGGATTGAATACCTCAACACCTGCCTTAAAAAGTTGTTCCTATGTGGCCTCCCGAAGATGGTGTCTCTACCGAGAGCCTTGCGACACCTCTCTTCGCTGCATTGCATGTATTTGATCGGCCTTCCCCAGCTGAATTTGCTGCCCGAGTGGTTCGACAAATTGACTTCTCTTCAAGTTCTGTATATTTCTGAGTGCCCGAAGTTAGCATCGCTTCCAGCCAATATCCGAGGAATGACGAATCTTCGGTGTCTGTTTGTCGATAAATGCCCGGAATTGGAAAGGAGATGTGAGCGGGGAAAGGGGGAGGACTGGCACAAGATTGCACATATTCCAAGACTCAACATCGGTAAATGGCTTTGCTAATCGGCGGCAGCTGTTTCAGTTTCTCCTCCGATAATTAGCAAATGCACACTCAAAACCATGTGTCGATTGAAGCCTTCGATTCGGGTCAGATGTAACGACATTTTAACTGTCATTACTCAATACGTCGTCGTTCGGGGAGCTGATGTCGCGTTTTACTTATAGAAAGGCCTACTTGCTGGAGTCTGTTAGGAGTTGTTCTATG